CAGGAGCAGAGAGGTGACTGGGAAGGTGAGCAAGCAGGGGGATGGAGGGGAGGAGTGTGTGTATATATGAGTGTGAGTGTGTGTGCGGGGGGCGGGGGGGGGCAGGTCTGCATGGACAGAGCGAGATGAAGGGGAAGAAAGTGGGACTCGGGTAGAATATCGCCAGCAGGGCTGGGCTGTGCGATCTGGGATGAACAAGGGTGTCTCTGGAAGGAAGGGCACAGGTGGGTCCTGGCGGGATGGGGTGCATACAGTAGGTGCCTAAAAGGTGTGAAACAATGCTCAAGGGATGAATGATGTCACCGGGGAAGGAGCTACTGGAGAACTCTGAGCAGAGGGAAGCCCGGGGATTGGGGGGAAGGGGGTACACTGGAGGCAGCCCAGTTCTCAGCCCAGCAGCGTCTGCCCCTCTTCCCCACCCCTCCTCCCTCCCCGCTTCTCCTCTCCTGCCCCTGGCTCAGTGCACTGTCCCCTCCAGCCTCCGGCCCCGCCTCTCTCCATGAAACCCTGCCCTCTGCACAGTCTTCACACCGCTGGCCCCAGGGGGACAGGGAGCGAGCCCCCCACCCACACACATGCACGCGCGGGCACACACATACACACACATGGTGGACACAACACAAGTACACAGGGCTGCGGCTCCAGCACCCCCGAGGGCTCAGTACTGTCCTTGGCATTCAGGGCCCAGCCGGCACCTGAAACTGCCCGGGGCCAGGCTGGGGCCCAGCACCTCGGCCTCCCCTCTCCTGGGCCTCTCTCCACTCCAGGCACCGCCTCAAAGAAAACGGGGGACGGTGCCCACCTGGCGGGCCTCTGGAGGGATCTGCCCGTCTGCCCGTCTGGCTCTCGTGACCTCCCCCACTTCTTTAGTATCAGCAAGTCAGGAAGGTAAAGGGGCAAAGCAGGAAAATGGCTCCCACAGCCCCCCCCCAGAGTTGGCCTGGCGGAGGGGGGGGCTGGTACTTTCTAGAAACGGGGCCCAAATGATCTCTGGGACCGCTCCCTGGCCGAGCCAGCAGGGTCCTCCCCTCACCCGCGGCAGGGGCCAGGCCGGGCGTTGTGCATAAAGTGGTGCGGGCATGATGGGGGCCCGGTCCCCCGGCCCCTGGGCCTTCTCTGGCCGCCTCAGGCCTTCAGCTGGTGCCACTGGGCCACAGGCTGCCGGGGCCGCG